CCGTTGTGGGACAGACCTAGCATAGCGGGTTTGAACTATCAAACCAACAATAAAACTATTAACTTATTGATTTATGTTTTGGATTTGTAATCATGGTGTGGAATTAATTAAGTTACAAATGATATCCATATTTATTCTACAAACTACAATATATTACACAAACTAACACCTTCTTACTTTTAAAACAACTACTTTTAATTGACAAATTTCTAAACAAAAATATTTAATTTGTATATGCATCAAACAAACAAAAATACACTAACCTACCATATATCTCTATATTATTCTACAAAACAGATTAAATCTAGAATTTTATATTTTATCCAATAACAAATTTAATATAATAAAATAAACAAATTTTAAGTTATAAACTATAAGTTTAAAACATAAAAAAAACATGTGTTTCGTACCACGGGTCCAAACAAAATGATAAATTAGTTAGACAAAAAATAAATAATTGAAAATTAAAAAACCAAGTAAACTGAAAATCATTATCTAAAAGTTTGTCATACGGTGTACTGCCGGTTAAATTCCGTGATTTTGATGGGTCAGGTCAAAATCTTATTCTATAAATATGTAGCCATATAAAGCTAAATAATACTATCTTTAACTATAAGAGTTACATCTTATTAAAAATCATATACGATCAATAGGTTTTATATATATAAAAATTCACATCAATAATTTTTTAAAAATATTATAGCCCCGCGGTGTACCGCGGGTTCAACTCTAGTGTACATATATAATTGTAGTTAATGCTTTGTTTAAAAGAAAAAAAAAACCTTAGTTAATGCCCTAAAAATGTATAAAAAAGGCAATGTTACAACGGTTCATCAAATAAACCAAAGGTTACAACGATTCATTAGATAAGCCAAAATATTGATTGGTTCGTCAAATAAACTAAATTTTACTATGTTCTATTAAATGGTAGCAACATATTCATTTAAAAAGTAATTACAATTTTGATGAAGAATTGTAACCGAAAGACGCGACCGTAGATATCATATATATTAAAAGTTGCAATGGTTTGTCAAATAAACTAAAGATTACAACGGTTCATAAAACAAAACTAAAAATTGCAATAATTTGTCAAATAAACCAAATGTTACAGCACTTCTATTAAACGGTTACAATTTTATTTAAAAACATTTTAGTAACTAAAATTGAAATAATGGTTTATAATAAGTTACACTGAAAGACGTGACTATTAATAATTAAATGTTATAAAAGTTTATAAAATAAACCAAGAGTTGTATTTGTTTGTGAAATAAACTAAATGTTACAATGGTTCAACCAAATGGTTGCAACCGTTTACGAAGAGTTACGATAAAAAAACGCAACCGTAAAAAATATTTATTCGGAATACGACTTTCTAAATAAATTCAACCGTAAAATATTTATTTTTGGTTTTTTTAAAAAATTAAATGTTTTAATGATTTATAAAATAAACCAAAAGTTGCAATTGTTCATTAAATAAAATAAATGTTGAAATGGTTCAACTAAACAATAGCAATTGTTTATGAGGTGTTATGATAAAAAGACGCAACCATAGAAAACATTTATTCAGATTCCAACTTTTTTTAAAAAGCAACCACGAAATATCTATTTTCGTTAAAAACCCATAATTTAAATCTATATATGAGACGTAACTTTAAATGAATAGATGCAACTATAAAAACACAACCGTAATTTGAAAAGATACAACTGTAATTGAAAAAATATAACTGTAAAAAAAAACCGTAAATATTTTAACGAAAATATGCGATAAAAAGATACAACCGAAAAATAACATTAAATATTTTAACGAAAAGATACAATAAAAGACATAACCGAAAAAAAACCCGTAAATATTTCAATGGAAAGTTGCAATAAAAAGACATAACCGTTCAGAAGTACAAAATGCATTTATTGAGATTTTTATTATTATTAGATTATATATTTTTCTTCCCAAAAAATTTTAATTTTACTATCCAAATTATATTATTTCTTCTAAATCTAAAAGCCGAACACATTTTATGATGATCAACTAGACAATTTTCAGATGACATTGTCAAATCCGTCTAATACAAAAAGTTGGAATGTTGATGAACAACTAATTCCTTCTTTTGATATCTATGATCCCAGAAACTGGAATAATCTTGAAAATAAAACAAAGGATTTATTGATTGAAAAAGGACCGAGAAGAGAGATGGATATTGTATTTCCTCTTGATGATAAAACTAAAAGGCACTTCACCTATTATTTTAGAAAGTTGTGTAATTACGAAACTAATGATAGAAACGGAGGCTTTAAGAGATAGAAAACATTTTGGTAACAAACTAAAAAAGTTATGAGAAAAGTGAAGAACGTATGGCTAAGGTGAGGATTTGGAATGACTTAAAAGTTTTATTTCAAAGAAATTGCAATGAAAAAAAACATTGGAGACAAGGTTTATACATAATAATTGATGTTGTGAAATGACTTTCAAAAAGGAATTTGGTGTTTCGAGGTTCAAGTGATTGAGATGATTGCTGAATTTGATGTGATTATACAGGATCATATTAGACTCATCCAAACTCATAAGATACTTCATCACTATCTTGGTCATAAATTTTAAATGATCTGATTTCTCTTCTCGTTTATAAGATTAGGCTTTCTCTCACCATAGTTTATTAAATAGGCAAAATACTTTTCTATTATCTTTGATTGTACACTTGATGTGAGTCATCAAGAAAAAATGAGTATAATAATACGATGCATAAATATGTCAAGTGAAATGATAAAAGTAGAAGAGTATTTCTTAGAGCTACATCTCTTGAAATCGATCTCGATTTGTCGTGTACACAAACGGAGGAGGCTGCTGGTCTCGCCGGAAGAAATCGCCGAGATGAGTGACAAGGTGGATCTGAGACATGAGAGAACTTTCTTAGAGAAGAAGAGACGATTTAACACTTAGACGAGTACTGAGATGAGTCAAGGGTTTTTATTTTTTTTTGTCTTCAACGAATTAAGGGTTATTATGACCTCAGTTTTTTTTTTCTTTTAAGTTGTGGGCGCTAAGTCTAAAATGTTGGCGGTCATAAGTGATTTTAGGTTTCCACTTAGTTAATTTTATGCATAACGTTTCTCAAACGCTATGATATATTAACCAAACTTTCAGTACTATCTTTAATAACAGTTATGAAAAATGAGCTATCGTCTTGTGCTATCAATACTCATTTTTCTTGTAGTGTTTTGAAGGTAGATGATACATCGGGACTAGACTTCTTTAAAGAATAAAAAATGCTCTTAAGTCGCCTCATCTTGATATTGAGAAAGTGAGCAGAAAGGTCCTGATAATGGTTCCAATATTAAAGAAAAGCATGGAAAAATGACCTTTTTTAATCCCTACGATTTTCAAAGTGCACTTTTTAAGTTGAACCAACGAGTAGTACTGATTTATAGCCCCATAATTGTAAATCCGGAGACTTGAACTCTCGATCTCCTCTTATTTAATCTTAGTCATAACCACTGAGCCACAAACATATGTGATACCAGAGTAATAGTTTATATATATATATATATATATATATATATATATATATATATATATATAAAATAACAAATTTGGAATTAAATTTAATTAAACGAAGTCGTTTACAATTGGGAGAAATTATGAAATCGAAGGATTTCTTCTTCTTCGTCTTCATTCAAAACATAAAACAGAGAGTGAAGAAATTGTCGTTCGTGAAATGGATGATCAAGGATTCCTAAGATATGTCAGTGTGGAGAGCATGTAGTGATGAAGATGTCAAACACTGCTGGAAACCCTGATCGATTGTTTCATGTATTTCCATTAGGAGAACTTGTAAGTGTGATATCTCAATTCTGGATATTATTGTGTTTAAGTAACTTGAAGTTTCAGATAAATGTGATAGGATAATAAGTATGACGGAAACATGTATGGTTCTAGAGATTGAAGACTTCATAGAAAAAGTAGATAACTTTGAATGAATGGTTAAATTCTTGTGAATCGGAGATTCGCACTGACAATGTCGATTTGTCATTGGTCAGCTCTCTACCACTTCGAGTGGCCTACCTTCATGGTAGAGCTCACTATCTTTAAGGTCTTTTGGCCGTTCAATCAATATTTTTTTACTAGTCTTATATTGAGAGGTTCTAGTTATAGGATAATCAAGTGTTATCACAAACAATGAAAATAAGAACATAAAACAAGTAACTTATGAAAATTTTCTCTTCATTTATTCAATAAGACAACCGTTTCTTAAATATAGAAGAAAGATGTTCAGAAATAGTCTACCAACTAAACAAATATAAAATCTGAATGAGTTGGAGATTATTCCATTAAGAGAGGAGAACACACGATGCCATATGAAACAATGGCTGGAAAGCCACTTTTGGGGAAATAAAATGCTGGAATGCCACCTTTGTATTTTCATTTTCTTTTACTATTTCTTTTTAAATCAAAATCAGAGGAAATACCCAAAAACCCTTTCAAAAGGTTAACAATTACTCTTCTCCTCTAGAGAGGCACTGAGAAGATCCGAGTCATCGACCGACCAAATCATCTCTCTTCTTCTTCTCCTCTAGAAGTTGGGCGGTGGAGACTTCCATTACCTACAAATATCAGATTCTTCTTTCCTTCGCTCGATTCCATTTCAAAATTTGTTCTTCTGGGTCTCTCTCTTCTCCTGTTACTCAAGAAGACGATTCCTGGGTTTGTCTAAAGTTTTGAGCTTTTTCTCTGTGGAGACTTCGATTACCTACAGATATCAGATTCCTCGATTCAAAATCAAACTTTATTCTTGTGGGTCTCTTCTCCTATTGCTGAAGAAGAAGATTTGTGGGTTAGTTTAAAGTCTTAAGCTTTTTTTTGTGGGTGTGTAAGCAAAATCAAATGGAGTGGGATAGTGATTCCGATCTCAGCGGTGGAGATGAAGTGGCGGAGGATGGATGGTTCGGCGGAGGTAACAGAGCGATTCCGTTTCCGGTAGGTAGTCTTCCTGGAACAGCGTCGTGTGGTTTTGTGGTCAGCGATGCTCTTGAACCTGATAACCCTATCATTTATGTTAACACTGTTTTTGAGATTGTTACTGGTTATCGAGCTGAGGAAGTTATTGGTCGAAATTGGTGAGTTTTCTCTTCTTGACTTTTACCTTAAATTTGTGGTGATGATTTTGTTACTGTAGCGAGTCTTTGTCCGTTTTGTGGTATTGGTACGATGTAACTAAGAGAGCTTGTTGAGAGCTATTTTGACAGAAAGCTTATGGTTCTTGTTGATTATATTGGCATATTGTTAGGTATTCTTAGTTGGGAAATGTCGAAATCATAGGATTTGAAATTGGTTATAGAGGAACAAGGCTATAATGTGAGAGTTAGATGTTAGTCTTTGTGATAAGACTTGGAACTTTCGTCTTTGTGATATGTTTTCTTCTCTCATGCATTGTTGAATTAGTATTTCTGATGTGTTTTCTTCTCTCATGCATTGTTAAACTGTTAATATCTTTGCTTCATCACACAAAATGTTATTGGAAATGCGTTCTGTCATATTATATGTCTGTTGAACTTATTCTTATCCTTGTAAAAGTCTTGTGTCCTTAAGGGGGAATGGATCGAAACATGGTTCTTGTATCTAGCATGATAATCATGTATCATCCATACATGCTGCTAATGCTGGTAATATCACTTTATACCATATGTGTTAGCATCTTTTACACTTTTTGTTTGTTTGTTTGCTCTAAGCTTTGTTTGTTGCTTTTGTTTAGGTCTTGTAAATGCTTTAAACTTGATTAAGGATATCAAAGAAAAATACCCTAGGTCAATGATTCATAGGTTCTGATTTGTTTAGAAAGTATGAAATTTTTTAACGTGAATCTTTTGGTTATGAATCATATTGTATGCAATCGTTTATTTAGGTACAACTGGTATATTTAGGTACAACTACGTATAGGTACAACTGGTATATTTAGGTACAACTACGTATAGGTACAACTGGTATATTTTGGTTTTGTAGTGTTGCTCTGTCAAAGATAGAGGATAAGTGGAAGGAAGAGCTTGATCAAGAACTGGAAAGAAAGCGCACAAGTCAAGTCTGCACGTACTTGTGGATTAAGATTGCACATGACTTATGTTTTTGTATTTTGTTGTATTGTGGATTAAGAACATATGACTTCGTATTTTTGTAAACCAAAAAAATATTTAGATTATATTTATGTTCAATTGGTTTTGTAGGTACAACTAGTCTATTTAGGTACAACTATGTGTATGGATTACTTATAAGAAAGTACAAATAGATCACTTTGGTACAACTGAGACAATTAAAAATAACATTTTAAAAAACAATTTTTAATAAATTTCAAAGAAGTAAAAAAAAATATATATATATCCACGTAAGCATCATTTTGGCGGCGGGATATTATTTTTAATCCACGTAAGCATCATTTTGGCGGCGGGATATTATTTTTAAATCATCACACGTGTGGTAAATTGTTTTGTTTTAAACATAGTTGTACTAGTTGTCCAGTTGTACTCACATGTTCATAGTTGGACTTTGGCGATTTTTGCGTATTTTCAGTTGGACTTTAATAAAAATTAGTAATTTTAAGTTGGACATATGTTGTTACCCTATTAATTATCATCTAAGAAGTTTTCATAATACAATTTATACGAAATCATAATTTTCACCTATTTTGCATCAATAGAAGTGATCACCTACAAAGTGTTCCTTGTACTATAAGGAGTGTTTCATATGAAAACAATAGTATGCACTAGGAAGTTGATAAATTCAAGTTTTATTTATTTAAAATTGTTTCTTTTTTAGTTCAACATGTTTTTGGAATCCTTGTTAACTCTAATTTATCGTTTTTCTTATTTGTTGAATACACATACGGATACATTTATGGTCTTAGTTGTACCTTGTCAAAACCTAATTATACCCAGTTGAACATAGTTGTATGAATACGACAAGTACATATACTGATACATATATGGTTATAGTTATAGTTTTAGCTGTACCCAGTATATTTATGGTCTTAGTTGTACTAGTCGGTCCTAGTTGTACCAGTCGAATCTAGTTGTACCCGGTCGAACATGGTTGTACGACAAATACAAATGATTTTTAGTCATCAAATATTCTTTTAATTAATATCATTTATCTTCCACAGGGGCAATGAATTTGGTTCTATTAATCACTGTTAGTGTTGCACAATAAAACAATAAACTAAAGACACCTTGAGAATCCTTAACCACAGAAAAAACTTCTATATAAATGTGCGAACATGAAGTCTACTTAAATTATTTTCTTAATTTTAGAAGAGAAAGCAAGAGAGCATGTCAAACAACTCTAGCACTAGCAGAACCTAGATCTACTTGCATAAGAACTCAAAAAAGTCATCAAAAACACCGTCATCAAACGACGAGAGTGGAGCTATGGCAGCCAAAACCTTTGCCTTTTCTTCCAACAATTGAGCTTCGAGGTCTGAACACTTTCGCTTCACCTTCTCCAAATGAGCTTCGAGCCTTGAACACTTCAACTTCAAATCCTTCAAAACAATACCATTTTCAGTATCAGCTTTTTAATTACACCAAAGACATAAACAAGCATTTGTCTTTATGGATATAAATAACCAAAAAATGTGTAGAATCTATCAAAAAACCTGATCTTTCTTTTGTTTTGGTTCTGGACTTAAGGCTTTCTTCACAGCTGAAAACCAACTTTTACCCATTTCTTAGTTTCTTCTTTTCAACGTATCTGCAAATGCAAATCACAGAGGTATATATTGTTCAATTAAACCTAAGATTCATCTTTTAATCTGAAACCAGAGCTTTAGGGGAAACATTGATACATGAATACAAAATCAGAGCTTTAAATGGAATGTATAGAACTCACATATTAGAGAGCAACCAAAGTTTTTTTTTAAGGACAAAAAAACTCGGAGAAAAAACCAAACCTTTGAAGCCTTTCTCTGTAGATCAAAAACTCAGAATCTGAGAGAACAATAAATTCAGTTTTCAGAAATGCAATTAAAGACAAAGAAACACATAGGGATACTTGTGTAACTGACTAGTATACACGCGTACTTACACTTGGGAAGTGACAATTATTGAAACCCGGAAGAGAAATCCAAAGAATAAAAAAAAAAAAAAATTCTAAGAACGACCAAAAGAAATGCAAAAGTTAGAGTCTTTGTTAGATTGAGAAACTAAGAAATAATCTCTTAGTTTCATCAATGGCAGAGGAGAGATGAGAACAAACCAATTGCAAGGACGAGACGCCGGAGACGGTGGGCGGCGAGATCGGCGAGGTGAGCTCTGGTTTGTTGGGAGGAGAGGATGCGAGCAAATTTTTTTTTGCTTTTTCTATTTCTTTTTGATTTTAATTTTTAATAGTTAATTAAATAAAAATATTCATAAGGACAAAATGGAAATAACACATACTAGAGTGGCATACAAACTCCAAAATGGCAGGCTAGATTAATATTTCCGGTTCGGTGGCAAACAAGCCTCTGATATTTCCGGTTCCGGTCCTGATAATGGTTCCAATATTAAAGAAAAGCATGGAAAAATGACCTTTTTTAATCCCTACGATTTTCAAAGTGCACTTTTTAAGTTGAACCAACGAGTAGTACTGATTTATACCCCCATAATTGTAAATCCGGAGACTTGAACTCTCGATCTCCTCTTATTTAATCTTAGTCATAACCACTGAGCCACAAACATATGTGATACCAGAGTAATAGTTTATATATATATATATATATATATATATATATATAAAATAACAAATTTGGAATTAAATTTAATTAAACGAAGTCGTTTACAATTGGGAGAAATTATGAAATCGAAGGATTTCTTCTTCTTCGTCTTCATTCAAAACATAAAACAGAGAGTGAAGAAATTGTCGTTCGTGAAATGGATGATCAAGGATTCCTAAGATATGTCAGTGTGGAGAACATGTAGTGATGAAGATGTCAAACACTGCTAGAAACCCTGATCGATTGTTTCATGTATTTCCATTAGGAGAACTTGTAAGTGTGATATCTCAATTCTGGATATTATTGTGTTTAAGTAACTTGAAGTTTCAGATAAATGTGATAGGATAATAAGTATGACGGAAACATGTATGGTTCTAGAGATTGAAGACTTCATAGAAAAAGTAGATAACTTTGAATGAATGGTTAAATTCTTGTGAATCGGAGATTCGCACTGACAATGTCGATTTGTCATTGGTCAGCTCTCTACCACTTCGAGTGGCCTACCTTCATGGTAGAGCTCACTATCTTTAAGGTCTTTTGGCCGTTCAATCAATATTTTTTTTACTAGTCTTATATTGAGAGGTTCTAGTTATAGGATAATCAAGTGTTATCACAAACAATGAAAATAAGAACATAAAACAAGTAACTTATGAAAATTTTCTCTTCATTTATTCAATAAGACAACCGTTTCTTAAATATAGAAGAAAGATGTTCAGAAATAGTCTACCAACTAAACAAATATAAAATCTGAATGAGTTGGAGATTATTCCATTAAGAGAGGAGAACACACGATGCCATATCTCATTCAAACTTTGACCAAGTCAATCGGTTTACTCTAGTTATGATCTCATCATATTTTATTTTTGTATCTTTATATGGATGTGTTGTATTTAGTTAAGAAAATAATAACTCGTGGCTCTCTTTTTACCCATGTAAGTTCATTGATTTTTTATTGATTCTTCCTATAGGAGAGTATCTCGAATATATCAATGAAATAGTGTTTTTCACTTTTCTTGTAAAATAAAAAATAAACAACAACTAGAATATCATACTGAAAGATATATCAATGTAAAGATATATCAAAGAGAAAATTATAAGTTAAAGAGATATTCGGTAAATTTATCTTCATTGATATACATGATTCACATTATTATTTTTTTGAAATCAAACCTCAAACTTGAAGCAGAAATAATGACATTAAATAAACTCTTAAAACTAGGGATTTCACATCAACAAATCATGTTTATGCTTTGCAGAATTACAAGTTTTCCATTTTTTTGGGTTCATCTAATAGATTATATTAGATACTTAGATGTGTTGCCGAAAGGCAGATTACAAACATTTAAGAACTAAAGGAAATGAACAAACGAAGCCTACATAATTAAGAGCATGATAAGGTTTTAATTCTGTGGCAAAGGCGGGTCAGTCATCTACAGCCTCGATGATTTTCAAAATTTCAGAGCAGCCCGTTTCAAAGCGGATAGAAATGTATCTTTGGGATATAGCCATCTTCATCGCCCACGAGATGGCTTCAAGTTCAGCATAAAGTGATAATAACTGTTTATTTTTACCATTATTTATTTATTTCTAAAAGTCTGTATAACTGATTTCCTGCCTAAAATAATTCCATCAAGTAGCTGCTATATCATAAAACTAGATTTATGAATAACTATTCAACGTTGTATTTATCAAACTTGTACAGAACGGACCAATCGAGGTAATGTAAAGTATGGGCATGTGTCATCCACACTGCTCTAGCCCATTATCAGAATTGTCTCTGTCTGAGACATAGTTGGGCTAAACTGTTGCTAAGCCCATCTGTCTGATTACAAAGGAAAGAGAGGAACGTCTCAGGACGCTAAGGACGAGAGTCGTCGTCTTCTCCGAGACGATGAGAGAGAGAGAGAGAGAGAGAGAGAGAGAGAGAGAGAGAGAGAGAGAGAGAGAGAGAGAGAGAGAGAGTTCTTCTTGGGTTCTTCTTGGGATTTCATCAAATATGTTGTCAACCTATTAGACCACGTAAAATGGTAAGTTGGAAAAAAAAATCAACAGTTTAATCATCGCCCACGATTTGGGTTCAGAGAAAAAAACGTCATTATTTGTAGAATTTTTCAAAGCGGATAGAAATGTATCTTTGGGATATAGCCATCTTCATTAATAGAAACGTCATTAATGATTTATAAATAGAGTCTAGTCTCATTTCATTTGGGTTCAGAGAAAAAAACGTCATTATTTGTAGAATTTTTCAATTATCTTCCAATCATCTATTTTTATTCATTAAAAACTTTTTTTTTGTTAAATGGATCTCAACAATAACCCTTTTAACACCCAAAATTCTTCTAATCATTTTTTTAACTATCCAAATCCCAACAATTATCAGTTTCAAAATCAATATGCCAACAAACCCCAAAATCTACCAAATTTTGGTTTTCCACCACATTTCTTCATGCCTCCATATGTTCCAAACTATAATCTTTTTTTTTTTTTTGTCAACAAAAACTATAATCCATATAGTGCATCGATGATGCAATATTCAGCTCAGTCTTCTCCTTTTTTTTCTACTCCGACGGGTCATGAAAATATATCAGAATTTCTCGGATTTTCTACCCAAACGGCTCTTGGAGGCACTAGCGATGACCATGAAGCCAATCCAAATACAGAAGATTTAACCCCTCTTCGCAAAAAAAGCTCCAAAAGCTCAAAAAACTCCAAATGGACCACTGAGCAAAATTTGGTGCTCGTGAGTGGGTGGACTGATTATGATCAATCTGAGCAAGTGGATCTACTACACCGCAACCATTCTAAACCGAGGTGCTACCTGCATTTGCAAACCATGTGCGTGCTAGATCAGAGTTGCGTGATTCAAATATACATCACGAACTGCAAGCAGATCTAGTGAAACACATATGGGCAAAATTTCGGGATTAAAGAGTTTTTTAAAGTCTTTTGTGTGATTTAAAAGCTCTAATGTTTGTGAGTTGAGTTTATTGTACTAATTATGTTTTGTGTTTTATTAGTTGTGTTGTGTGTTTATCTGTGTATTGTATTAAATTTCAAAAATTTCATAATTTTATTTGTTTTATAATGATTTTTTTTGTTTTTATTATTTGCAAAAGAAAATTATTTATTTATTTATTTTTATATTATTTTAATTTATTTTTAATTGATAATTGTTATTAATATGTCATTAGAAAACAATAAAAAATGAAATTAAAATATGGTGGGGTAAGGTGTTGAATTTTATTAAACAAAACCATTGTAGATGATAAAAGTTGAATGGATGTTGAAGTATTGGAAGAGAGAGAAAATGATGTGGAGTGTTAAAAAATAAAAAATATGGTGTTGAATGTTGAAACCATTGTGGATGGCCTTATATGTTAATGTTAACATCGCTAATCAACTATCACTGTCCGTAGACCAAATGCCTATCATATTAAAAACGAATCATATTCGTATTCGTTAGTATCATATATGAGGCCCATTGTGGATCTCGGCTTTGCGGTTGGAGGTGCTTGGGTTCTGCTTGGGGATGGCTATGAATCCGGCAAGTTTTCTCCAGCGGCTTCTCATGGTCGGTTCTCCTTCACGTGTGGGTCTTTCTCTTTGAATCGGGATGTGGCTTCGTTAAGATACTTGGATTGTTCTGTTCTTCTCCCCTTGGCGGGATTCTTGCTCAGATTTAACTTCCTGGTGGTGCATCGTCGGATTTCTCTCAGATATGCTTACGTCGTTGCGGTGGTCGCAACTGCTCGGTTTCGCCTTGTGGTGGAGCTCGTTGGTTAGTCCATGCGGCGCAATCCGAGGCTGGTTTTCTGTGGTGGTTGATGGAGTGGTCCTTCTCACCGCTGAGTCTTTTTTGCTCTCGGCTCTTTGTGTGGGTCGTTTGTGATCTTCATAGGTTTATTAGAGTTTTTGGCTTCTTGGTTCCTCTCCGGTGTGGCTTTTGGGCCTTGATTGGCTCATTCTGGTTAGGTCCTCCTTGGTAGTGGACCTCCGGTGCTTTATGCATTGGATGGGGTGAGATTTTGTCTATGGTGTTGTCGTTTGTTTTCTTCGCTTGGATACAGCTTGGATTGCAAAGCGTTTCGCTTCAGTGAGTGCTCGAGTTGAACAGAGGAGGCGGTTTCGTCTAGTTGGCTTTATCAATCCTATATAGGAGAAAGTTTATGTAGCTTCTTGCTCAGGAATGGTGGCGAGAGGCGGCTTCTCTGGCTATCCGTAAACGCTCTCGTGCCACCGGGTGCGGTTAAGCCTCTTTAACGATTTTGTTTTTGCGTTAGTCTTCGAAGAACCTATAGACAATCTCTTCTTGGATGTTTGAGGACGTGCCTCATGAAAGGTTTTGATGTAGGAACAAGGGGGCTTGCTCTTACAAAGGATAATGGATGGTGAATCTATAGCTGGCCGTACGGCGCTCTCTATGGACTCAAGTGGATTGATGGATCGAAGTTCGCCACACAAAGTTGTGGAATGACTTTGTGATAAGAACACGAAT